CCAACTGAACATCCACCCAACTGCTAGACCAGTTATACAGCGCGCTCGCAGATCAGCACTCCACCATGCCGAGATAGTGGCAGAAGAAGTGGGAAACTTGCTAGAGGCAGGAGCTATCAGAGAAGTGCACTATCCTAGGTGGATCTCCAATACCGTAGTAATGCCAAAGAAGAACAGAAAATGACGTGTCTGCGTGGACTACAAAACAGTCAACAAGGCATGCCCAAAGGACAGTTTTCCCCTACCACGGATAGACCAACTGGTAGACCTGACGGCAGGACACAATCGACTTAGCTTCCTTGATGCGTACAGAGGTTACCACCAGATCGCTATGTATGAACCAGATCAGGAGGTCACATCATTTACAACGCCTAGAGGATTGTATTGTTACAAGGTCATGCCCTTTGGCCTAAAAAACGCAGGGGCAACATTCTAACGGATGGTCACCAAGATGTTTGAACCATTGTTAGGCAGAACAATGGAGGCTTACATAGATGACATGGTGGTCAAAAGCAAGGAAGAGAAGAACCATCTCAGGGACCTAGGTGACATGTTTCAGATTCTGAAGAAAAACAAGTTGCGCCTAAATGCATCCAAGAGTGCATTCGGTGTAGGGTCAGGCACATTCCTAGGCTTTCTAGTGACCAACCGAGGTATAGAAGCAGACCCTTCTCAGATCAAAGCAATCCAAGATCTTGAGAGGCCCAACACAGTCAAAGAGGTACAGCATCTCACCGGCCTAGCAGTCGCGCTCAACCGATTCATAAGTCGGTCGTCAGACAGATGTCGACCATTCTTCCAAGCATTAAAGACCAAGTTTTAGCGGAATGAAGAATGCGACCGCGCCCTAGAAAGCTTGAAAGAGTACATGTCTTCTCCACCGTTGCTTGTAACCCCAAACCTGGAGAAGAGCTCTTTTTGTACTTAGCAGTTTCATAGCATGCAGTCAGCGCAGTGTTGGTTAAAGCAGAAAGAATCCAACACCTACCCATCTTTTGTGTTAGCAAAACCTTACTGGGCGCAGAAACCAGGTACCTACCATTGGAGAAACTGGCCTTAGCCTTGATGATGGCCTTAAGAAAGTTGTCGCATTATTTCCACGCCCACACCATAATTGTCCTAACAGCTTTTCCATTAAAAGCTTTGTTTGAGATGGCAGACTTTTCTAGGCGAATCTTGAAGTGGGCGGTGAAATTGGGACAATTTGATATTAAGTTTCAACCTAGAACCGCAATAAAAATCCAAGCTTTGGCAGACTTTGTGGCAGAGTTCACACCAGGAAGTCATCACATCTGCCTAGTTGACTTGACTGGTACAATCAAAATGAGGACGGAAAGTGTCACAGGAAATGTGTAACCCCTAATACAAGACACCCAGCCACATTGCAAACCACACAGGCTTGAGGATCAGAAGGAAGAAACAAACCCTGCCATTCCCAGTGAGGACTCCTCAACAAGTAAAAACTTGGGTCAGTCAGATAGTGAAGAGAAAACCCCAACAGCAGGCATGGACTTGGAAGAAAACATCAGCAACACGCATGACCCCAAGACATCATCCGACCCCTCCACTTGCTGGAAGCTATTCGTTGGAGAGATGAGGAAGCTCTTTGTGGATGGAACATCCAATAGGCACGGTGCAGGACTTGGCATAGTCCTCATCTCACCAGATGGCCTAATAGTGGAACAAGCAGTCAACCTTGGCTTCCCAGCATCAAACAATGAAGCAGAGTATGAAGCGCTTTTAGCAGGCCTAAAATCAGTACTCTTCATGAAGGCCACCGAGCTAATGGTTTACAGTGACTCCCAACTGGTAGTAAACCAGATTTCAGGCGACTACGAGGCAAAAAATGAGAGGATGGCTAAGTACCAAGAGTTAGTCAGAAAGGAAATCATGAAATTCGACGTAGTACGGATAAAGCAGATTGGTCGAGAAGAAAACAGTAAAGCAGACGAACTAGCAGGCTTTACTTCGATAGCAGATACATCCATCCCACATCCATTACTGATCGACTTCCTACCAAGACCAAGCATTGAAGAACCCGAAGTAGCTGAGGTATGTTGTGCCGAACTAGGCCCTTCATGGATAGATCCCATTATAGTATTCTTAAAAGACAGCGTCTTACTTGAAGAGAAAAAAGAGGCCAACAAGATCCGAGCAAAGTCACAGCGATTTTGGCTCTCTCCATCACTAACCTTGTACAAAAAATCCTTCACAGGACCTTACCTGAAATATGTTCATCCTAGCAAGGTCGAGGCATTCTTGTTTGAGATACATGAAGGCGTATGCGGAAGCCACCAAGGGGGAAGATCATTGGCCTACAAAGCAATTTCACAAGGATATTGGTGGCCATACATGCAAGCAGATTCAGAAAAGTATGTCAAGAAGTGCGAGAAATGTCAAAAGTTCGCACACCAAATACATCAGCCAACCGTAGAGCTTCTACCGTTAACTAGCCCATGGCCCTTCGCAATGTGGGTCTTGGACATAGTAGGACCACTTCCAACGACACCCGGCAACAGAAAGTTCTTTCTTGCAGCAATAGACTACTTCACAAAGTGGGTGGAAGGAGAAGCACTCCCCTCAATAAGGGAGAAAGATGTGAAGAAGTTTGTCTGGCAGAATATCATCACTCGGTTCGGCATACCCAAGGCTCTAATATCTGACAACGGCACTCAGTTCGATGGAAAAATTTTTAGAGGCTTTTGTGAAGAGTACAAGATAGAATTTTACAATTCTACACCAGCATACCCCCAAGCAAATGGCCAGTGGAAGCATCAAACAAAGTCGTTTTAGATGGATTGAAGAAAAGGCTGGAGAAAGCAAAAGGCAAGTGGGCTGAGGAGCTTCCTCATGTTTTATGGGCTTACCGTACCACACGTTGGCGGTCAACTAGAGAAACACCTTTTTCCTTGGCCTATGGCATGGAAGTAGGCCTCTCCACTATTAGAAGTGAAAATTTTGACCCAGATTTAAATGGAGAAGCCATAGCCTTGGAACTCAACCTTGCAGAAGAGAGAAGAAAAAGAGCACTGGTTCACATCGCCTCATACCAGCAAGAGTTATCTAGAAAATATAACAAGACAGTACATCCGAGGCAATTCAAGATTGGAGATTGGGTGCTGCGCAAAGTAATGGGAAACACTCTGGTACCTGGAGATGGCAAGTTAGGGCCTAATTGGGAATTACCATACAAAGTGGTTGGCTTAGCAGGAAAAGGAGCATATCACTTGGAAGATTGAGACAGCAAGGCCATTCCCAAGCCATGAAACACTGCCAATCTCAAACTATTTAATTTTTGGCTTTTCATTAAAGTACTTGTAATTTTTCTTTTTTCAATAAAACAAGTAGTTCCCTTTTCAGCATAATTCTTTTCTTCTGTAAAAGGTAGTGAGCTAGGGGCAATGAAAGCAGAGTTGGCCGGAATAACCAACACTTCGCTCTAAGTTGGTAGGAATAACCAACTTTGAGCTCTCTTCAGCCGAGATCAGGATCTAGGCTGAAGAAGTTTGACAGGAATAACCAAATACTTGGCTTTAGGTTGGCAAGAATAACCAACTTTGAGCTCTCTTCAGTCGAGATAAGGATCTAGGCTGAAGAGGTTGGCAGGAATAACCAACATTTATCTCTCTTCAGCCGAGATAAGGATCTAAGCTGAAGAGGTTGGTAGGAATAACCAACATTTATCACTCTTCAGCCGAGATCAGGATCTAGGCTGAAGAGTGATTGGTTGGAATAACCAACTTTGGGTACTCTTCAACCGAGATAAAGATCTAGGCTGATGAGTGGTTGGCTCGAATAACCAACTTTGGGTACTCTTCAGCCGAGGTAAGGATCTAGGCTGTAGAGTGGGTGGCTGGAGAAAATAGGCAGGTATAACCAACACAGTAAACAGTTGTCAAAGCTCTTAATGCGAAGATGGTTATCTCGGCAACAAAAAGAAGGCAAATTACAAGACAAAGCATAACCGAACAAAAAGATGAAGAACTTGAAGACTTCATTCCAAAATGCATTACAAAAGGAGGGGCTATAGCCCGGTTACACACTTCATTGATATCAAAAGAAGAAAAAATATGTGATCAAGCAAAGAGGTCATCCAAATCGGTATCCAAGTCAACCCGAGCTTCAACAGTCGGTAGCCCGGTGTTGGCAGGTAGGTCGATCCCTACAACATCATCAACCGCAATGGGCACCAATGGCTCCACCTAAGCTGACTGGGTAGTTTGGAGACCGGGATCATTGGTAGCAGCTGGGGTATCCACTACAAGAATTAACACTTTTAGCAACAAAAAAATTGGTCGCTAAAAGTCAATTTTTGGTCGGCAAAAGTTATCCGCGACCAATTTTTTTGGTCGCTACTTTGGTCGCCAATTGAGGGTCGGCAAAAGTAATTCGCAACCAAAATTTTGGTTGGTCGGCAAAAGTTGGATTTGCCGACTAAATTTTTGGTCGCTAAATATATCATTATCGCGACTAATTCATTTAGTCGGTAAAACACTTTGGTCGCGAAAAGTGATATTTTCCCGACCAAATATCTTAGTCGCCAATTGACACATTTCGCGACCAAAAAGTTTGGTCGCCAATTATCACATTTAACGACCAAAAAGTTTGGTCGCCAATTGTGACATTTCGTGACCAAAAAATTTTGGTCGCCAATCGTGACATTCCGCGACCAAAAAATTTTGGTCGCCAATCGTGTCATTCCACGACCAAAAAGTTTGGTCGCCAAAAGTCAAGGAATCGCCGACTAACAATTTAGTCGCCAAAAGGTAAGAAATTGCCGACCAATGATTTTAGTCGCAAAAGTGTAGAATTTGCTGACCAATTTTTTAGTCGCCATATCTCTCTATTTTTTTTTCCCAGAGCATTGAATTTTTGTTTTTAAACATTCAATCCAATATCGAACAAAATTCATTCAACCCAACCACAGTTAAGGAACAATAACATTTAAAACATTAAAAATTGCTCATAGTTTTGGTACCACAATTAAGGAACAAAATTCATTCAACATAGCCAAAGAATTTAACTAAGAAGAAAACTTGAGAATTTAACATGTATACAAGAGCAATAGTACGTACAATCTGTGATTTGGCAAAAACAATCACTAAAAATTCAATCTCAAACTACACTTTGCTCTCACCAAATATTAAAAGAACAAAAAAATCAAAGAAAATAACAAGGTATGAGGCTATTACAATCTACAACATACATTCCAAGGGGGCCACAGTGGAGCCAGACCAGCTTCCAACTTCCAACAGAGCAGACAGATCATTCCAATGGAGCAACGCTGGAGCCATATTACCTTCACAGACAGAACAGACCAGCTGCCTACCTCAGCGAGACTACCAATCTGCAAAGCCCAGCTTCCACCTTCCAAATATTGGTGACAGATTTACCTGCATCTCAGTCCTAATACCAAGAATATCCTAAACATATCTGAGCAATTATTACAACACAACAGAAACCAAGACTGTATTTGAACATATCAGCAATCAGCAGCATAGCAACTCTGTTCAATAGGCAGCAGAGCAGACCTATGCAAACCATGGCTTCAGGGCACCAGATCAACCCAGAATCAACCTCCCTTTTCAGCTCAGATCAATCAGCATAGCAGATCTGCTCAACAGCCTCAGCATACCAGCAGAGACCTTAAGGCACCAGTTCAGCCCAGAAACAGCCCAAAATCTGGTCCAATAATCACAAGAACTTCTACAATAAAGCATAATTTGCAAGACACCTATGCAATGTTCATAACTAGTTAATAGTCACATTTATGGAAAGTCCCGAACACATCATTTCATACATTACTTTAATAATCTTGCCAGCAACCCTTAGCAACGAAAAAATAAAAATCAAAGAGCATAATAAAGCACATGCATTTCAAACAGAAGCATGTGTTCACAAAAATACCTAGTATGGATAACAATTGTCCAAATCTAAGCCTATAAAACCAACAAATGACTAATTATCGGCATCCCTAAGGAAAATGTAGATTCCAAAAGAAATGACCACCAATTCAATTTTTAAATAACTCCATTACAGATCCAGGCAAGACAGAAGAGCCAAGACACTTCAAACAAGGACAATAATAAGGTCCACATCTCCCTTGCCACTGTACAGTGAAAAAGAAAATGATCCACCACATCGCCACTTCCTTGCACAGACAAACACTATTGAGGGAGGAATTTTCATTTTTTAATCAATTTTCAATGGTAAAAATCTTCACATGAACTACCAACCACCCAAAGTAACCTACCTTGAACGGGCTTCAGTGTTCATAACGCGTTTCCAAGGGAAATTCCCCAATTCCCTATCAACTTCTTAGTATCTTTTCTTTTCCTTCTTTTAACTTGTCAAAAAAAATCTTTTTCTCACCTTTTTGGGGGAGTTGTACAACATCGTAGACATATGGCAGATTATAGTAGAAGTATAGTTTTTGTTTTTGTTTTTTGTTTTGTTTGGTTTTGTTTTGTATGCGCCATGTGTACTGGAGTGTGCCACCACTTTTGGGGGTATTTAAGAAATTATTTTACAAATAAAAAAAAAATGTTCCCACCATAAACACTATATAGACACAAGACATGGTTCTCACCACAATAGATCCTTCTTGTCATTGATTACTCAAAAGAGGAACCCACTTATTGAGAGTCTCTGATCTTCAGTTTGCAATTCACATAGATAAAACTACAGAAAGTAAAATGCTTACATTGTTAGACCTTCAACTTGAAAAGCCAAGTCTGTAAGCATGTAACAATGACATGCAAAGAGGTCGACACACTGCCACTAAGTTTTTAGGTATTATTGCATTGATTACCATCAGAATTTACCAACACACACACCCAAAAAAAAACCAGTTATTTACACTGGCTTTCCTGGAAAGTAATGTCAACACAACTTTGAAAAGAGTTTAGAGACCCAAAAAAAAAATACTAAAACTGTTCACTTTTTTCATTTTTTCCATGTTTCGTGGAATAAGTCCATGTACTTGCACATTCTAATAAAGGTCAATGATGCTAAGCAGTGGGGATTTACTTATTGAGTGGGAACAACAAAATGTGAGTACAATTTCTGTTAATTGGTAAGATACTAGATGAAAATACTATCTAACAAAAAGAAAGGATCACAAAAATGAATCAGTCATCTTTTAAAACCAAGAGAAAAGCAGCCTAAAAAATATTTGTTTACCTTGTCAAAAGTTCCACTGCAGTTGAACCATATCCAAGCTGAAAAAAAAAAAAAAAAAAAAAAAGGAGAAAGAGAAAGGAAAAAGAGAGGAAGAGGAGAGGGTTGCTTGGTGGTTACCAATTCAAAACTAGTGTTGAGAATTATTCGTAAAAGCTCTTGAGGTAAGAATACTCAACCTCTATCCTCCCTTAGCTATTTTTTTTTTTTAATTGAATCTATATATTAAAAATATGCAAAAGTGTGCATTGTTCATACACACCTAGCAAGAATAGCTCAATGCATGTTTATATTTTGATAGAATGACAATCTTATGATTATATGATTTCTATTCTTCTTGCAAGCATAGATTAGATGGTTTAGCTATCTACCCCACTCCAACTATTATTATATTTATTAAACATATTTTTATGTATATAATATATATTATATAATTTTAAATTTTAAATATAATAAAACTAAAACACTAAAATATTACACTTACCATTCATTTTAACTTCTTTATTTCTTATTTTACATCTTTAACTCTCATCTCATCATTGATAAAACATTATCCATAATATACCGTATCATCTCTCATATATATTAATATCATCATTCCTAACGTTACAAAATTAACCTCTTCAGAGATACTGTATCATCTGCCATTATGGGACACATGTCGTACAAGCTTTTTCATGTGTTACAACAGTTTGCCTATAATTCCATCTTTATTTGACTTCACATCCAGAGATACTTCATTGCTGATATGGATTTACACAACAAACAACACCCAATAACTTATTCCTCAACCAACAGTTCGACACCATGCCAATGTCAAGAACTGCAGAAAACCATAGACTCTGCTTCCCTAAAGGCATGTAGAACATACATTACAAAAACTAAAACATGTATGGATCAGTTGCAAATTAACTTCTTAATTTAGAGCTAATTCCCTTGCAAGCAGGTGTCTTTTAATATGTTACAGCCTATTTCTTTCAAGAACATACTTATCAAAAGAGTACCTCGAGACTGATCTTGGCATCATCTAATGGATAGTATACTCAACCATGAAGACACTCAACCATGAAATCTGCCAATTTTGAAAGACAGAGACCTGTAGAATACAGAATGAAATAATTGAAATATAGGCCAAAGCATGCAAATGCACAATAAAAGGTAAGCCATACTAGAAGATTCAGTACATGCACAGTTCAGCAGAAATTTTCTGGAATGGAAACATGATGATATGAATTAAAAGATTGAAGTTTCTGATGCAAGATTTAAAGGACCAAAAAATAGTTCCACGCTCAATTTTTTCTCATCTTTTGAAAGCATGAAGAGGGAGTAAGTACGTTCACCCGGAGAAGTCAGAGGGTGTGGGAGCATTTGTGCTTGAAAGTTGCAAATATTAGGATTTTATAGGAAGCCCAAATAATACATATGGCCTAAATAATTTGAGGAAAGAAATATAACATTTTGCAGTACTATCAAATTATCAGAACATGCCTATCAAATTATCAGAACATTTTGCAGTAACTTCCAACTCTCCATAACAGAACATGAGAAGCTTATAGCAACCTGATGAAGTCAAAAAGATTGTGATATTCATTCCTCTGAATGTTCTGGAAAAGATGTTCTTGCTCAGTCTAGACTATGGGAATTAAATTAGTCATTTGCAGTATACAACAAACACTAACAGGCGTGCTTGCTTTTAAATTACCCATACTAATGATAAGTTTAGATACTTATCATTTCATCTCAAGAGCTTTATACTTTTACACTACCAACAAACTGCATTGAAACAGTGTCACCTCAATGCCACGAGCACGGAAACACTTTCTTTTCAGATATCATTAGGTGAGAAACACAGTCAACAATGAAAATTCCAATCCTAGAACTTCAAAAATTGGGTCTTGCTTGATGCTGAACTCTACAGTATGCTAGTAGGAAAAACATCAAAGGCTACAACTTGACATCATAGAAATTGCAATATATCTTTTGATACTTCTAGCTAACGAAAATAACGAAGCTAAGATAACTTTGCCATTAATAGTTAAGTAGATCATGTAGTTAAAACAAACCTCCTGCTATGGTCCCAATTTCATATACTGAGGTGAATCAACAGCAACAAGAGCAGGTTCACAAAGCTTTATAGCATCATGCATATCCTTTAAGTGCCCCCATTTTGGTTGTCTTAGTAATCCTGTATGAAAAATAAAGAGATAAAAAGTGAGATTGGTGAACAACCATTTCAATGAGAATGCTATTAGTGATATGAATAAGCAACTAAACCATATATTTGTATCCAAGTTATACATCAGTTGTTAACCCCAAAAAAAAAAAATTATCTTATTTAAGTAAAGTTTAACTTACCATATTCATCAATTGGAGCATCATAATCGCAATTACTAATATAGTTTGGGCCCCCTGCAGTACGGCCAAAATTTGTCCCACCGAAAAACTGCAAGCACAAATCAAGGAAACCATGCATTTGGTGGTCAATATGCAGCATATGCGTCATCACCCCTTCAAAAGATAGGTCTTTTTGGAGGTTGTGCTTGAATTGTGCCTTAGTGTCCTTAACTCTACTGTTTTGACTTTCTGCCTTTCCATCATGTTAATACTTAGCTGGAAAAACTGTGGCCTTGTCCCACATTGTCGCTGATACAAGACTGCCATGAGTATATAAGATGCCATCATCCATTCAAAAGTTGTGCTCTTTCAAAGGTGGTGCTTGGATTTTTCCATAGTGCTCTTGGCTGCACTGTGTCCACTATCCTCATTCCCCCATGTATTAAAGCTTAGCAGGGGTGACAAGAAATACATATATACATAAAAATATGTATATCATACATTGGTAACCCATGATTACCAAAATAAAATATGGTGCTCACATAAATTTAGAAGGTTCACTCGCCCTTTAGGGTGTTTATTAACCAAAGAAACATAAATTTTGATAGAGGGATGGAGAGTGAATTTGCAAAAATTTGACACAGAAGATATATACTTTTGTTTAAAAAGAAACATGCATGAAAAATATTCATGTAGTTCAATCATATTCTCTCTTTTTTGCTATAATAATGGTTACCTCATCCTCATATAAACACATGTGAAAGTTAAAGGGAACCTTGGAAGCTTGAGGAGTTGTTAAACAGATGAAGAAACCAAAATTATTCATAAGAGTTCAAATCCAATGAAGGAAACACAAGGTAAAACCACCTAAAATTTCATTAAAAAAGCAAATTGAATTATCTTCTATGTACTTCTCTTCCTAACATGTTTTGAGGTTGGTTGGAATCCTCCTCTTTCTAGTTCTTTGCTAACTTGTTCTTTTCAAGGCCCAATACATACACATATACAACTATAATTATAGAACTGGTTCAATTAGCAATTTAGATAAACTAAATACAAACAAATAATCTTCTTTATATGGACCAGTCAGCTGGAGCTGGAGTTGAGCTTGAACACAACTGGACAAACTTCAGAGTTCCAAAACAGGACCTAGAATAGGAATATCAATGTAAAATGTAAAGTTAACACACAGTCACAGTGCAACAAACAATCACTAGCATGTCAACTTTTACTACTTTTATCTGGCTTATGTGCTCTTCCCCATGGAAAGCTGGCTAGTCAAGCAAGGACATCAAATGTTGAATACATCCTTCTAAACAACAAAGCAAATATAAAACAACAGGATCAATTCAATATGAAAACTAGAATGATTGAAGCAGAAATTGCATTCCTGATGCAAAATCCAAAAAATCAAAAGTAAAAAGACCAACATATGGGAAACAGAGTATAGTGTTCAGGTTTCAGGTTTCTTTGGTCACCAAGTTTCCTAGTGTTCAAGCTAGATTCTAACATAATTGGCATTGTGTAACAGGCATCTTGAATAAATTTCATGTTGAATGTCCTCAAGTATGATTTCCAAGGCACTTCCCTCTCAAGTATGAAAGTTTGCAGTTATTAGTTAAACTAAAAAATGTGTGGCGTTTCTGCATTATTACAAGATTTCGCTTCTTATTACATATTACAACTATTTCCACAGCTATCCAAAAATGATACTAACCTTCACTAAAATAACCTAGCTCTTCCTTAGTTTATGGTCTAATACTTGCACTTCTTTAATTATTCAGCTAAGCTGACTGCTTACAACTATTTCCACAGTGAAAAGTCTTTGATGACTTTTCACTTCAAAGAGGTTCAAGACTTGATAATCAACGCTATGGGCTTTATTCTCTACAACTAGTCATGCACGTGTGTGCAATTATGATTTAAAGATGCTTCATTCAACAAGAAGGAAAGAAGAAGAAAAAGGGGAACAATAGAACTAGGGGGACAGCCTTAGAAACAAAGGGTCACTACATATGATGTATCTAGTAGCGGGTTTTTAGCTATGGAAAGTTTCTAGGCTTAGAGTTCTAAAAGGTGGAGGGCAGGTTTGACTGTTTTAGATGGAAAAAGGGTGACAATTGGCTTGATTTTCAGAAGTATTTGGTTGTTGGGTCTTAAGAAGTGGTCCCAAAATGTTCCAGGAAAACATTTATTTTATGATATTTTGGTGTGACAATAAAAGCTGAAAGGCAAGGACAATGGTTGGTGGCAATTTAGGCTTGATTAGGTAAGGTTCTTGTGCCTGAAATTTGCACTGTTTTGGGGCTGTGAATAGTAACCCAGGAATAAATGTTTTGTAAATAAAGAAGAGGAGGAATAACCCCCTAAGGTAAGGTTTCACAAAGCATCACTCAAAGTGACAAATGTTTTACATCAAATTTCAAGAGAACTCCATAGAACAGATATATACGTATTTATAGAGTGCTGGGTTCTCCTAATTCTATTAGGACCATGATTCCAAAATTAAGAAAAGTTAAGAAGCTTTGACTTATTACAAATTTACAATATTCTATAACTAATAAAGACTCCATATGAGACTCAAATAACAATATTTGACCCACGGGTAAACTGTAAAATTTTTAAAATAACAACATACTCCAAGCAATTAACAACCAATAAAAACCAACAGCATTCTAACATACAAAATTAAGTATATGAAAAGGATGTATATAATGAAAAGGAGTACCTTTGAAATGTTGTGTGATTGACATTTATGTATCAAATTGAGTAGAAATTGTTGGACAACCACAACATAGCATGCCTCCAGAATTCGTAGTGCCAAGTGACCAAAAAGTAAACTTTTTTCATAAACTGAAGTTCAAAATATTACAGAGTGCTTAACGAGGGGTAAAATAAAAGACGGTTCAGTAAAATGAACTATAAATGTATTTTTTTGGAGGTCACCAGACTCTTCTCATTGGGAGAAGCAGTGGTGAAGTTGAAAGCAGTTTGGTCAGGATAAATCAAGGGTATTTGCTGGTTTTTGAGGAGTGATATGATTAAGGTCAAGGGACTTGTAAGGGTGAGGGGAAGCTGAGAAAGCATGTGGATTAAGGAAACAGGAAAAACACTATTGATTAATGATCAATTGGAAATTAGATAGGTGGATTGGTCGTACAAGATTCAACACCAAGTATCTGGTATTGAGCCTTATTGAGCTGACTTAAGATTAGCATTAGGTGAGTCATACCTTCACATCATTAGACACGTAACCGAAGAAAATGGACTAAGGAAGAACCTTATCATCTTGGTTATATAAGCAATTTAAGATTAGTGCTCGATCATTGGCATGTCGCACTTGCTTAAGAAAAACGTGAACAGAATCCACACTTGGCTCTCCATGAGCTGTGTCTAGCAGCAAAACTAGTTTATTTGTTAAAATAATTTGAATTATTTATTTTAACTGTAGTTATCTTATAAAAAGATTTCCAAAGACTCGAAATAGTAGAAGTAAGAATCAAAATAGAAACTAGGAATATGAATCCATGAAGAAACAGTAAGATACCTGTTAGCATCCTCGGTCTTCTTTCCAGCTATTCTTCCTTTGGATGCCCGCTGATAACTGTCAAGAGTGCAAGTTAAATTTAAAACCAATTTAATACATGAAAAATAGAATCAACTAACAAGATAAATTCATAAAAATACTCCTATGAATACTAACCTGAGAGGCAACATCAACTCTAATTTCGTCTAGGACCTGTCAAGTAAATAAATAAACTACCAAGTATATTTCTAGTTTAACAAGTATATTTCTAGTTTTCCACAAACATTAGCAGAAAAATGCAACAGAAGGCCCAATAGAAATGAAGGCATTCTAAAAAAGCTCACCTAAACGTCTAATGAAATGTGTCTTACGCGAATAATAGCATTCAGTAGAACAGACACAAAAAAAGTTCAAAACAAAAATTCATGAAATAAGAATAATAGAATCATACAAATGCAGAAAAATCAACCAATTCACAGACCTCGTGACCAGGAGGACTAATATGGAAAATGCAAAAGTTGTGGAGCAGCAAAGAAGCTGCTTCAGGACAAAAGAACAATCCTTGGAAACAGGACATATCTACTCAAAAAGTTGCAAAACCAGGTACTATTACTTCATTAAGAAAATGCAGCGCATAAAGTTTGTTACTGAAAATTCTCAGAATAAGCCATTGGAGATAATGCACTGAAATATAGAATTGTATTTCCAAGAAAAACACATAATGAGAGTGAAAACAAAAAATCAAAAGAATCAAACCCCATTATAGAATAAAACACAACCAGAAACAATCTACTATCACTAAGACCACAAGCTCTGCTTAAATTGTTGTTCTTTTGTTACCTAGAACCAACAAACTAATTAATAGGCACTAATCAAAACATGAATTGATTATATTCAAAACCCTAGAAAGTAATTTACTCTATGAGATAGATAGACATATGCCTCATTGATAGCGAGCATTTGACCATTGCTTTTCTTCACCTTCTTAAGCTTCCTCAGAAAATACCTTAGAAATTTAACCAAAACACAATTGGAATCGAAAATAATATACTCAAACCTCATACATACATATATATCTACATATACATACCAGAACTTGGACTTGGCCCGAACCTCGTTGGTGGCCCAGAGCTTCATGCGGTAGATCTTCGGATGCTGATCGGTCTCCATAGGAAGAGCTCTCCCTACAACTTGATACTGATGAATCGCGCAAATCGCTGCGAGAGATGTACACAGATACAGAGAGCGAGCAAGATCATACGAAAGAGAGATTGAGAGATCAAGAGAGGAAGAGAGATTGAGACATCGAGACAGAAACAGAGAGATTGAGCGATTGAGGGAGAGAAACATACGGGTGGAGTTCTGATGGGCATGTGAGCGAGAGCAAGAGCGAGACAGAGAGCAAGAACGAGAGAGAGAGAGACATTAGTGAGCCTACTAGGGAAAAACAAAGAAAAGGGCGCAAATAAATGAAAGAAGAAAATGGGGACCTTTTACGACTTACTTGCTTTCATTATGCTGTAGTGTTTTTTCTCCATTATTATTTTTTATTTTTTTTCCACGGCTAATCAAACGGTCACAAAAAAATAGATACAAAAAGTCAATTTTTTAGTAATGCTAAAAAAAATATTTATTGACGAAAATAAATTCTATCATCTATTATTTTTATTTTTTTATTATATGTGATAAAATTTTATAATTCATCACGAATTATTCTTATTTAGTGATAAAATTTATTTTCTTTGCTACTTTTCGTCACCATAGGTTACTTAGAGAGCTAATTAACTTGTGTTTTGTTTTGAGAGAGAGAGAGAGGGGGGAGGAAAACCGATAAACAAAAAAAAGAGGGGGAAGTTAGTGCTCTATTTTTTTTATTACCGCCCAATATGTCAAAATTTTCCCTCTGTAATTAGTGACAAAATAATTGCCTCACTAAAAAATCTCAAAATATTAAAAATTATTAGTGACAAAAATATATTCTTCACCAAATGGTCTTAAAATATTTAAAATCAAATTTCTCAAAAAAATATATATATATATAAAATTATTGGTGACGAAAATATATTCGTCACTAATAATTTTATAATTGGTGACAAATTTTTTTCTCACCAAAAGTCTCAAAATTTTGGCGCCACCCAAAAAAATTAGCGGAAAAACCTTCGGTGACAAAACTTAATTTTTCCTCACCTAAAAAGAAGTATTTGTTGACGAAAATAAATTGTCACCTAATATTTTTATTTTTTTAATATATGTGACAAAATTTTATAATTCGTCACGAATTATTCTTATTTAGTAACAAAATTTATTTTCTTCACTACTTTTCGTCACCATAAGTTACTTTTGTTGTAGTGTACATTACTGAAGAAACCCATGTAGCAAAATACAAACCCACATAAATATGTATGTAAAATAAGCATAATGAGGGATTAATTACCTCGGGACGATCGGAAGTGGAAGGAAGGAGGCTGAGAGATCGGGTAGAGCGAACTGAGCTGAGAAGCTTCTCTCCGACCTTGGAGAAATCCATGCCGCCCCCTTGGAAGAAGAGCAACGAAGCGAAGAACAAAACCCTAGTTCCCTCGAAACCCCCGTCGTTTACCCTAAATCTAATTTGAAATTAGCTACACATATTTGTATGTATAGAGATATAGAGATATAGAGAGAGAGAGAGAGAGAGAGAGAGGTTACCATTGTTGCACTTTGATTTGTAATGATGCGCGACAGTGGAAGATCGAGGGTGAACGACGGTGGAAGAACGACGGTGACTGTGAACGGCGAATCAACGATGGTGAGTCTGAGAGAGACAGAGAGACAGAGAGAGCAAGAGACTGAACTTGTTTGGGTCTATCTACATATTGATAGAAAATAAATTGGGCGGTAATGTAAAAGTGTATTCCCACCAAAAAAATGAATCTGTGTTTTTGAAATTGTTTAATTTTATTGTCGACAAAATGCTTTTTGGTCACTAAAAATAAGTATTTTGCCGACCACATTTTTGGTCGGCAAAGATCAAAAGTAAAAAAAATTCATTAATATTTGGCGACAAAAATATTAGTCACAGAAAAGGTATCTTCGACGACAAATCTTTTTAGTCGCCAAATCTCAATCAACGGCGACTAAAATATTAGTCGCTAAATGTATTAATTTGGAGACTGATTTTTTTGGTTGCTGAAAATAAGTTTTTAGCAACCAAATTTTTGGTTACCAAAGAAAAAAATAATTTTTGGCGACAAAAAGATCATATTAGTCGCAAAAAAAGTACCTTCGCCGACAAATATTTTTAGTCGCCAAATCTCAATCAACAACGACTAAAATATTAGTCGCTAAAAGTACTAATTTGGCGACTAATTTTTTTTGGTTGCTGAAAATAAGTTTTTGGTCGCCAAAAAAAATGTGACCTTCCGCGACCAAATTTGTAGTTGGTCGGCAAAAGCATACCACTTTCTGCGACCAACTCATTTTTTGGTCGCCAAAATATAACCTTCAGCGACCAATAATATTTGGTCGCCAAAAATAAAGATCAATCGCGACTAATTAATATTTGGTCGCCAAATGTCATTTTTTTGCGACCAAAATTTTTTTGGTCGGCAAAAGTGGTCGCAAAATGTGTAAATTCTTGTAGTGATCGTTGGGCTTTGGAGATGCTTCCTCTTCCTCCTCTACTTGAAGAAATTTTTGTTGAATGGCATTGGCGTAATCCACCATATAGCTCGGAATAAAGTGCTGAGGAGGGTTCTGGAAGACCTCGGCTTCGTGGCCATAACCGAGCTGTGACAAGGCCGCCTTCTATCCGCATTTGAAGAATATGCCCTTTGCAGCTTCACATTGCAGGATGTAGGTGGCGTCACCCTCCTTGTAACCACGATCTTCAACATCGTCCGCACTTTTCTTCATCTCGGCAATCTCTGCATCCTTCTTTTTCTCAAGCTTGGCAAGCTCGCGCAAGTGGCGATCTTTCAGCCCAGTTAAAGCCTTCTACTTGTCTGCTTCTGCCGAATTGACCAAACCGGTGAGTCGGGATATTTCGGTCTGTAGCTCAGCCGTTCTTTATTTGGATTCCTCTAGTTCGGCCGTCTTGGTGTTGGCTTCTGCCACAACCTGCCGTGTGGTCTTACGCAGCTCTAACATGCGCTTGTGAGCAACGTGATTCTTCTGCATGGTCTGTAGAGGGAGAGACAACAATAATGATTAAAACCGTGCAAACAGATGTACAGATTAGAAAGACAACAAAAGAAACTTACCAGCACCATCGACTTCGTCGCCGAGCAAATGGCCTTCAGCTCGGTCAAATGATCATGATGCTCCATATCGGCTGGCAAGTATGCGCTCTTAGCAAGATTGAAGGCGAGCGAGTGGTCTTTTTCAGCGACCACCAAATCTGTGTTCACAATGGTCTGGTTCTTAAAGGTCACTCTTGGTGCCCACTCAGAAGGGCTAGCCCGGTCAGAACGCATGGGTTCTGGGTTCGATCGTGTGGTCTCTAGAAGTACGGTGTCATCTTCATCGACGAGACGTGGCCCGGTCGAAGAAGTGCGAGAGCATTTACTGGGCCGAGATGACGAGGCATGAGCTATTGGAAGAGCTACCACGGTCTCATGTGTTTGTCCGGCCCGTAGTACCTCGGTTTGGTCCCCGACGGCTGGGGCAGTTGTTTCGGTGATTAGTGCTCTAACTGCTCTCTTCTTAGCCATTTCTTGCTCCTATGTTAATGGGATCAGATTGATCTGAGGTAGTGTTGGATCTGGTTCTGGTGAAGGTTCTAAAAGGAAATCTATCACCCTGGTCTTCCTCCTATTACTGTATCTATACGTCGGTTCAAAATTGAGTAGCTCGGCCCGACCTCTATCAAGGTACCGAACCACGGCACGGAGTGCATCTAGATTGGGGTATTGGTACTATGATTTTAGTTAGTTCAAGTCTGCATAAAGAAAAAAGGCAACAGTTAGCACGGTGCAAAACTTATAAACAGTAAAGAAAGCACAAGCTAAGCCGAGGTATTTATACCAGCTACTCCTTTATTCCAGTTAATTCGGTCGCCCGGTATCTGGGCTTCCTGATCTTTGAAGTTGCCCAAGACCCAGAAAAAGTCGTCATCATTTACGTCTTTGTCCGGTGTATTTTTGATTATTTTCTCTCGGCGTCTTCTTATTCTTAAATAATATACCCAGCCATCTTCATTCTGGCCAAGTGAATATTGGTGAAAAAGCTAGGCTAAACCGAGGTTGAGGCCAAGCCGGCGATTTAGCTCGGCGATGCCATTTATTATTCTGTATGAATTGGTGCTAAGTTGGGTTGGGCATATTCTAGTTTGCCTAAGGAATTCGCATAGGAGTGGTTGAACTGGGAATCGGAGGCCGGCTTCAACAATGGATAGCACGGTAAAGGGAACGAAGCCCTGCTTTCTCCATGGAGTTGTATCTAGCTCGGCTAGTGAAAGATGGACGTCATCAGGGATGTTATAATCCTTTCGGAACTCAGCTATGGCCCCTAGTGAGTTTACTAAGAATCGATATTTTCCCATGTGGACTTAAATTATGTATAAATTAGCTCGGAGCCTTAGCTCGGTGTTGAGATGACGTTGGGTATCTCGGTTGAGCGTACAAAGGTGTGCCTGGCCAAACCTAGTCAGTCTGTACAGTGAAGATAAAAAGTGTTATGCCCAAACAAGTGCACCGGGCTAAATAAGAAGGATAAGCAAATGATAAAAACTCTAGATCGGCTAAGTAGATTGCAACCTTTAGCTCGGCCATAGTGCGAGTTTTTAGCCTAGTCATTGAGCATTAAGGGCCCTAACCCAGTCAGGGCACAAGTTTTTAGCTCGGTTATTGAGTAAGGTTTCCTAGTCTGGTTGGAGTGAAGGATTTTAGCTCGGCTAAATGAAACGGAAGGTTCTTAGACTGGTTAAAACTTAAGGTGTGGCGTGAAGTTTTAGTTCGGTTATTGGGGGAGTTATCTAGTTTGGCTAGGTGCACACCTAAATACAAACGGGTTCCTAGTTCGGTTGAAGTATTATTTTAGATCAAAGGCGTCATTTTTCAGATTGTTTGTGAATCCAGTGGATCTATTACATGGTTTTTGGAACAAAGCGGTTATTTCCCATTGAAATGGGAACTATAATAGTGTGTTTTGAGAAACATACGAATATTATACTACATACTACAAGACTATACAAACAAACAGAAAATGGGATTGAGTTACTTACAGTTTGAAGACAGCAGGACGCAGATCAAAGCTGCAGGAATGGCAGGGAGAACACGAGCTTCGCAAGGATTATGGTGGTGAAAATGGTGGCTCAGAGGGCAAGAGAGAGAAGATGAATAGTAGAAGTGGTTGGTTCAAAACGTAGGGTTTTTGTATAAAGCGTGTGAAAAAGGTGGGACTATTAAAAAATTTTGGAGTAGGAGGGCGGTGTTGACAGCTATACTCAACCAATAGGGG